TGTACATGCTAGACTTAGGGATGGTGGGGCGGGGTGGGGAGTGGTTTCCAGCTGCGAGTGTGGACGAGATCCGCTGGGACCCCCCTCCCAGGCACTTGCATCGGGTTTTGCCTATCCGCACATGTTGATATCGCTTTATACCAAACAGACTTTTCCAGGAAGTATTTAGAACCTAAAAAAATAGCTTAACATTTATGTATAGGCTATTTGAAACTTTTTTTAAAAACTTTACCTTAGGAACTTCAATGCTAGCTGACCCGCAAGCATCCAGCGAGAACCTCTTGAAGATCACAGAGTACGGCGAGAACATCAACCATATCGCCACCAGCGACACGGTGTCCTTTTCTTTCCTCATCAGCCTTCTTTTAAAGAATTTCTGCCCTGTACTTCTCACAGGTATTAAAAAGATTTAAAGAAGGAGAATTTCAGAGGCACCTGGGGGACTCAGTCAGTTAAGTGTCCAACTCTTGATTTCAGCTCAGGTGATGATCTCACAGTTTGTGGGTTCAAGCCCCATGTCAGGCCCTGTGCTGACAGCTCAGAGCCTGGAACCTGCTTTGGATTCTGTGTCTCCCTCCCTCTCTGCCCCTCCCCCACTCTCTCTCTGCCTGTCTCTCTCTCTCTCTCTCAAAACTAAATAGGTAAATTTAAAAAAAAAAAAAAAACCAGGAGAATTTCAGGGTTAGGAAGAGGCTTAGTAATTACTTAGTCTAAACATTTTATGTTAAAACTTGGGGAAAAGATACACCCTGAAAAGCTTTATACACTATATATCAATATATATTCTTACTAAAAGTATATGAATGCCCATTTCCCCACATGTTTGCCCACAGAGGACATTATTAGTCTCTTCATGTTTTCATTCCTTCCCAGACAAATTCCAGAAGTAGACTACAGGATTCATACATTCATGGCCTTCACAGCCTGTGGGCTGATGGCCCCAGAGGGTGCCTGATGGTAGGAACGTTGATTGGTTTAGCTAAATTTACTCACATAATTACATACAAGGAAAAAATTAAAAGAAACTGCCTGATTTTTTAAAAATTTACACATATAGGGGCGCCTGGGTGGCTCAGTCGGTTAAGCATCCAACTTCGGCTCAGGTCACGATCTCACGGTCCGTGAGTTCGAGCCCCGCGTCGGGCTCTGGGCTGATGGCTCAGAGCCTGGAGCCTGCTTCCGATTCTGTGTCTCCTTCTCTCTCTGCCCCTCCCCCATTCATGCTCTGTCTCTCTCTGTCTCAAAAATAAATAAAAACGTTAAAAAAAAATAAAAAAAAAATTTACACATATAGTTCCTCAACCCAATGTTAAGAATTTTCAGTCTTTTAACATTACCAAATGAGTAATTCAATACGGTCCCACTTCTTTGTTAGCATTTATTTTACCCTTTTCTTACCATTTCTGGCTCCTACGCAGTGCTGCCGGTCACCAGAGGCAACAGGACGACACTCCGAGTCCCGTACTCGGCAAAACAAAATCGGAACTCTCAGATAATCCACACCTTGCCTCCAATTTGGTCTAAGAAAATTCTTATTCTTACTTAATATTTGGTGGATTGTAAAGTCATGACTCCCCATTCTGTTGCTATAGTTCATCCTCTCCTCTCTCCCCAAGACTGTTTTGGCAAAAATTTTCAGGGAAATTCATTTCATGGAGTAGCTCTGCTCTGCTAGAAGCAAAAGGATTTGTGATAGGTGTGAATGAACATTTGATTAAATACAACGGCTAACTCCTGGGGCATCTGGGTGGCTCAGTTGGTTAAGCGTCCAACTTCAGCCCAGGTCATGATCTTGTGGTTCATGAGTTCAAGCGTCAGGCTCCGTGCTGACAGCTCAGAGCCTGGAGTCTGTTTTGGATTCTGTGTCTCCCTCTCTCTCTGCCCCTCCCCTGCTCATGCTCTGTCTCTGTCTCTCTCTCTCTCAAAAATAAACATTAAAAAAAAATTGTTTAAATAACGGCTAACTCCTAATCTATCCTTTTATAAAAGATGTAAATAATTAGAGCAGATTTCATATTTACTCGCTGGTTTACCCAATCTTAACCACATTTTTAAAAATTTTTTTTTCAACATTTATTTATTTTTGCGACAGAGAGAGACAGAGCATGAACGGGGGAGGGGCAGAGAGAGAGGGAGACACAGAATCGGAAACAGGCTCCAGGCTCTGAGCCATCAGCCCAGAGCCTGACGCGGGGCTCGAACTCCCGGACCGCGAGATCGTGACCTGGCTGAAGTCGGACGCTTAACCGACTGCGCCACCCAGGCGCCCCTTAACCATATTTTTTAAAAAGGGAAGAAAAGAATCCATTTTTTCACGCAATTTTCAAGTAAAATGTTACTGGTTCATCTTAATATGTTAACGTCTATTCATTTTCTTGGCTGTAAATCTAACCTAATGTCTTTTTTTTTCCCCTTAGGAGACTCTGGTGTTGGGAAAACCACTACCATTAATCAAATGCTTGAAAGGTTGGAGGGCCCTGGAGCATTTGATGTGAAATATGGGTCAATTTTAGGAGAAGTCCTGTTGTATAACGAAATTAAAAAATCAAGGTTGTATATTTAAACTCTAAATTTGATTTGTGTGGTAAAAAAAAAAAAAAAGTTTGCTCTAATATATAAATGTGCCTTGTTTTAAAAAGCAAACCTGTTATGGAAAAATGCAAAATTACTCAAAAGAGGGGTTAAGAAAATCTTTACTTTTCCAAAGTATTAACTCCCGGATTAATTCCTTTAAATGAGAAATTTTTACATTTATTTTAAATATAACTAAATTTAAAATCTCAAGTTTTTTTACATAACAAAGTGTATTTTCCTTCCTGAAGAAGTGCACCTGAAACATACAAATGAAGAGTTGCACGTAATGGGTTCTCTTGCACTACAAATACATTTTCTTCTCATGAAATACAAAAGTATTCTTTACAAAGAACTTTGTCATTCTCTATGTCTCTTCCTGAATTACAAAAGAAGGAATGAAAATCCTAGAAAAATGCAAAATTTTGAAGTTAATTAAAATGGTAGGTGTGCTGTTGTTTGGACGGAATAAGCAGGTGGACCGTGGGGACACCTGTGTCGGGCCCTCTTGTAAACGTCAGACACCCGGGTCCGGGGCCCCCCTCGAGGCCCAGCACGAACCCCGGCCCCGTGGCTCAGGCGCAGGTGCGGAAGAGACACCTGCCCTCCCTGCAGGTGGTCTCCTGGTGGGAAGCCTGGCTGATTCCCCCCAAACCGCGTTCCCATTTTGCATCCGCACTAGTCAAGGCTGCCCTGTCTTCCCAAGACATCATGAACTTCTGCCCCTGTCTTTACCCAATACCACTCTTGGTCTGGGCCGTTGTCACCTATGTGTTACACGAATAATTTTGGGATAGAATCCCACTGATCTTAAATGAGGCTGTAAAAAATCCGAAGAACATTTAATACCATAAGAATTTTTCCTTATCTGAATTATTATAGTGGACTTTAAAAAATAAATCTCACTCTATGCTCACTATCTAAACTGAACGTTTTAATAAAGAAAGATAATATTAAAAAGAAACACCTGAAGCCAAAACCAAACTAGAGGTGAGCAGGGCTTTATAAAGGGACAAGTGAGTTAATAATGGTTCACTACCCATTGGAAATACCAATAGCCTGGAATCCTGAGAATTTGTTTAAAAAAAATTTTTTTTAATGTTTATTCAGTTTTGAGAGACAGAGCGTCCATGGGGTTGGGGCAGAGAAAGAGAGGGAGACACAGAATCCGAAGCAGGCTCCAGGCTCTGAGCTGTCAGCACAGAGCCCGACGTGGGGCTCGAACCCAAGAGCTGTGAGACCTGAGCCGAAGTCGGACGCTTACCTGACTGAGCCACCCAGGCGCTCCTGTCTGGTTTGTTTTTTAGAGTCAGCCTGTGTTGTTAAGTCTGGGTATCGGTTGTGATGGTGACAGCGGTGACACGGTGTTACCTGTAAAAAAGCAGAAACAGGAAAAAATATTTGTTTCCCTGTAGGAGAGAGAGATAAACTCAACACCCTGACACTTTGATTACATTTTGTTCCTCCGGCTGCAGTGGTAAACAGGCAAATTTTGAATCTTTAAAACCTTTTGTTCCAACAGCCTGAAGCAGAATATCAACATCTTGCTCTCTGAAAGTCACAAGACAGGATCCGCAAGTCTAGGTGCGTATTAATCACCTCATGTGAAAACTGCTTCCTGTCTGCTTGTGCAAGTCACGGTGTGCTTGTCAGGGATCTCGGAACCAACACTTCCACCGATAGTTTCAAATGGAAAATCCTGAAAAACATCCACTCTCCTGTCAAACGCCATGCCCCACCCAAATGCTGGAATAGTTATGGGAGAACTTGCCAGAAAGTGGGACTCTGGCTTCCCCGGGGATTCTGGACTAGGTCTAGGTGTCCCTGGAGGCAGCGTCGGCCTGTTCTATTCTCGTGCTTGTGGAGAAGTTAAAATTCCGGATGAGCTTCCGGAACCTCGTCCTGGAGAGCCCTGACTGAAGGGTTTGGGAGCAGCCCCCCGTTTCTGAAGAGGGAGAGCCAGCCGCCCACGGGGAGCTGCGGGGAAGGGAAAGGGCCTGGCCGCAGGGTTCCTGCCACAAGAGTTTTGGGGTCTGGTTTTCCCATGACATTTGCTGTCGTTCCATCCCAAGTGGCCGTGGTAGACAAGCCTCGCTCGGGGAATGAATGGGTCCTGCTTCCGATGCCTTCGGTGGACACACCTGTGTGCGGCCTTCACGCCTCTCACGTGCACTTCCTTCCAGTAGATGCGTAACATCTTGCAAACCTAGATATTTTTAAGTCGTAGAAAGTTACCCGTGTCGATTGTGCAGAAATGTACAGAGTTTGTGGCTGTCCTACCGTTGCATGCGGCTGTGGTGGCACAGAGACGCTGCACACCACATACGAGTAAGGAAGTCACTGGAAACATTCCTTCTCTCACTGAACTGTCCTCGGGGTAATTGCTTGAAAATGACTACAATATACTAAAATTATGTAATTTTCGTATTTCCTAACACCTTAAAATAAATCACGGATATTCTCAAAGTACTCTAAATTTGTGTTTCTTTCCATATTTGGCCTAACAGATGGGAAGACTATTAAAAAGCCAGAAGTCAAAACTGAAGAAAGTTCACTGAAAGACAATAATAAAGGAATTATCGTCTCAACGATAAATTTTAGCATCAGTATGACCGCTGCCAAAGCCAAGGAGATGATCCTTAAGAAGTTAGTAAGAAGAACGAAAGACAGTCTTGGAGCGCCAAAGAGCAACCAGGTAGAGCCCTCCCATACCTTCTGACCAACTTCACCCACTCACGTCATAATGTGACTTATTTTCATTAATAATAATAAACAGAAAAGGATAAGTGTAGCATAGAGTCCTGCGCATTACTAGAAAATGCACTTTGAAATGGAGGCTTTGGTTTTTGGTTTTAATGTTTTTTTAAGTTTGTTTATTTTTGAGAGAGCGCGAGTGGGGGAGGGGCAGAGAGCGAGGGAGACACAGAATCCGAAACAGGCTCCAGGCTCCGCGCTGTCAGCACCGGGTCCGACGCGGGGCTTGAACCCACAAGCCGTGAGATCGTGACCTGAGCTGAAGTCGGATGCTGAACCGACTGAGCCACCCAGGCGCTCCATGGAGACTTTGGTTTTAAAAATCAATATAGTATGGTTTCCAACACGATGAATTATACTCATTCAGAATTACTAAAGCCAAAAGAAGCTCCTGGAATCTATATTAAACGTGAACAGAGAAAGCAAGAAAATGTGTTAGATGCCATTGGTTTGGGAACAGCGTGTTTGACCACGTTTTCTTCCCATGAGCATGGCTCGGGACCGTTAAAAACCAAAATTTAGCTGAGTAAACTTTTAACACTTATTGGCTTTATTCAGTTATTTGTGAATCTGCGAGGTATCCACCTAGAGACAGAGGGAGCTCCACGAAGCTGTACGAAATGAACGACTTTTCCAGGCACAGGGCGCGGGAGCAAAGAGGTTACTCCGGGCCAATAGCGGTTGGTTGTGGTGGTATCACTGTCCTCCAGGCTGGCACGGTCCGCCGGGCAGATGACCTCATGGTGCTGAGGGTCTACTTTAAGATTCCATTCTGGGAAAGAAGACAGCTGTCGCTCTGGGTTTGGTGACATGGGGCTTACTGTTAAGTGATGGCTCAGGGTCTGTTGTGTTATTTTGAACATGACAGAAAGAGGGAAACTACCCACAGCCTCAGGGAACGGTACCAAGAGGATGACCTTGTGGAGTAGTTTCTGCTCTTCTGAAAACGTGCTGCTTTCTAAAATCCTGTCTTCAAAACGGAATCGGGGCTGCTGCTTTTCGTAGAAAAACAGGGCTGTCGTGACACATGACTTTGTTCGCACGCCGCAGCATAATTACTATTCCTAATTTGTAATTTAAAGGAAGGCAGTACTAACTCATGTGTTCTAAAACCTTTTGTCTTCCTCAAGATTGTAATATTCATTGATGACCTGAATGTGCCCGAATCGGACACGTATGGGGCACAGCCGCCCCTGGAGTTAGTCAGACAGCTACTGGATTTGGGAGGACTTTACGATACCAAAAAACTCACGTGGAAGGTACAGTGTACCTAAGATCTTGTTCACGTTAACTGTTGTTACTCAACAATGAAATATTTATAACAGCTTTGAGTGAATTGAGAAATTTAGAATATCCAGTCAGATGAACATATAGAACAAATCCAAAATCCTAATTTCACCCTAATTTAACCAATGGCACCTTTTGCAGTTTGACATAGGTCCATGGGTTCATGGAGATTCTTGTAGTAGGATTAAATATTGGTAAAAATTACAAGTGTCCTGTAGGTTTAATTTCTGGGTATATATAAATGCTCACTATTATCACATCAAGAGTTATCCAAACTTTTCAGTATGTTGGCAGTTAACGCATATGAGAAAAGCTAGTGAAAATGTGCCCTAACAAATACATGCTCTTTATGGAAGACTACTCTTCATCTTTCTTTTCTTTTTTTTTTTTTTTTATAAATTTTTTTCGAATGTTTATTTGTTTTTGAGAGAGACAGACAGAACATGAGCAGGGGACGGGCAGAGAGAGAGGGAGACACAGAATCAGAAGCAGGCTCCAGGCTCCGAGCCATCAGCACAGAGCCCGACACGGGGCTTGAACTCATGAACTGGGAGATCATGAACTGAGCCGAAGTCAGACGCTCAACCGACCGAGCCCCCCAGGCTCCCCTCTTCATCTTTATTTTCAAGAACACAGATAAAGGATCTTTAGTAGTATTGCAAAGTTCAACAAATTCCCAGGGAGCTGTTCCTGTGCGATTATTTTTGTTAATGGAACCAAATCAGAATGGCTTAAGGTTTTTAAAAAGTAAACGGACATGCCTCATTTGATTCCTTCTCGGTAAATCACGAGCCCTGTGCTCCAGAACGGACTTTATCTGTAGAATTAGATGGTTGCATTACAAATGGTTTCGTGTCTCAGAGAAACTTGGGCCCAGGATCCTGGACGGCACCCTGGCTGATGAGTGGTGTCAGCTCAGACACCAGACCATCCTGAACCATCCATTGAGCCACAGTGGAGGGAGAAGCCCAGGGAGAACCTAGAAGACTAGGGCAAGAGAGGGAGCAAGAAATGGGTCTGGAGGACAGCCTGGAGAAGTTCTGGAACTGAGAAGAAAGTAGTGAAACTGACCTTTTGTGGAGTTTCTGTGGCTGGGCCGGGGCCCCAGGCAGAAGCACACCTGTTAAAAAACATTTCCTGTGCGTAGATGAGACACCTGCAGGGCCCCACCCAGCTTGCAGGGCTGGGATGCTGTGATGTGACAGTGCATCCACGGCCTATGGCTGGATAGACAGTCCCCAAGCCAGCCCTGGCTTTTCTGGAGACTCAGTCACGTTCCTCTGGTTCATTGCTCATCACCAGGCTCTCTTCGCTAGCCTCAATAACATGTTGCTTATTTTCCAGTAATTGCTTTTTAAAATATAGGCTATTTCTGGGGCACCTGGGTGGCTCAGTCGGTTGAGCGTCCGACTTCGGCTCGGGTCATGATCTCGTGGTTTGTGGGTTCGCACCCCATGTCAGGCTCCGTGCGGATAGCTCGGAGCCTGGAACCTGCTTTGGATTCTGTGTCTCCCTCTCTCTGCCCCTCCCCTGCTGTGCTCTGTCTGTCTCTGTCTCTCAAAAATGAAAAAATGTAAAAAAAAAAAAAAATTTTTTTTAAAGATAGGCTATTTCTTGATGGCCTTTAGAAAGCCTCCTAGAAGTAATACGCCTTGGAATTGCATTTTAGGATTTTGGTTACTTCTAAGAACATAGATTTCTGTTATCATCATAACTTTTGTTTTTGCAGTAAGGGATTTTTTTTTTTTTGTCTAAACAAATGTAAATCTTGGTTCGTTGGGGCTGGGAAATGAGTGATACCTCCCTTTCTGCATTGTCCTTTTCACTCTTCCCACAGAATATTCAAGATCTTTCTCTGGTTGCCGCTTGTGTCCCTTCAGTAGCCAGGAGGCACATGAGCCCGCGCCTCCTCAGACACTTTTCCGTTCTGGTGCTGCCGCATCCTTCACAGAGCGCCTTACGTACGATTTTCCAGGTAACACGTCCGCTACATTTTCTACTGAAAAAGAATTTTAGGGGCGGCTGGGTGGCTCAGTCGGTTAAGCAGCCGACTTCGGCTCAGGTCATGATCTCGCGGTCCGTGAGTTCGAGCCCTGCGTCGGGCTCTGTGCTGACAGCTCGGAGCCCGGAGCCTGCTTCAGATTCTGTGTCTCCCTCTCTCTGACCCTCCCCCATTCATGCTCTGTCTCTCTCTGTCTCAAAAATAAATAAACGTTAAAAAAAAAAAATTGAAAAAGAATTCTAGTTCCACAGTGTGAGAGAAAACGTGAGAGTTTAAAACCACTGATGTTGGGGGCGCCTGGGTGGCACAGTCGGTTAAGCGTCCGACTTCAGCCAGGTCACGATCTCGCGGTCCATGAGTTCGAGCCCCGCGTCGGGCTCTGGGCTGATGGCTCAGAGCCTGGAGCCTGTTTCCGATTCTGTGTCTCCCTCTCTCTCTGACCCTCCCCCGTTCATGCTCTGTCTCTCTCTGTCCCCAAAAAAATAAATAAACGTTGAAAAAAAATTTTTTTTAAATAAAATAAAACCACTGATGTTGAACGAAAATTCCCTTAAGGGGATGGGTTTTACTCCCCCGCTTTCCAATTCTTTCTGGCCTGTGGTTGTAATTTGTCTCTAAATAGCAAAAATGTTGTGTTAGTGTGCATAAGAAATACATGTGGTGCACACTTTTTAAAGATTTTTTTAGAGTTTATGTATTTATTTTGAGAGAAAGAATGAGCACGTGCAGAGTGGGGGAGGGGCAGAGAGAGAATCCCACGCAGGCTCCCCACTGTCAGCACTGAGCCTGACCCAGGGCTCTATCCCATGAACATTGAGATCATGACAGGAGCCGTAATCAAGCCCCCCAGGTGCCCCGAGAAACACCTGTGATGCACATTTAACGCGTGTTTGCAGTGTAGACCCTCAGACCCCATCTTCACAGGATTCTGATCCAGTGTCTCTGGGTTGGAGCTCAGGGAGCTGAGTCATTAATCAGCACACCTGAAGTTTTGCTAAATGATTTGTTCTTTTTGTTTCATTGTAGAATACAAAACGAGAGAAAAAATCTGAAATGCCTTATTAGAAAAATAGCTCAACTTGAAATTAGTTTGATTAGAAAAATAAATCTGCGGGGCACCTGGGGGACTCAGTTGGTTAAGCGTCCAACTTCAGCTCAGGTCATGATCTCACTGTTTGTGGGTTTGAGCCCGTGTCAGGCTCTGTGCTGACAGCTCAGAGCCTGGAGCCTGGAGCCTGCTTCAGAATCTGTGTCTCCCTCTCTGTCTGCCCTTCCTCCACTCACTCTCTGTCTCTCCCTCTCTGTCTCTCAAAAATAAATAAAAACATTAAAAAAATTTTTTAAAGGAAAAATCTGCGAGATTACCAATTTCTTCAAAACTAATTATATGTTTTCTTCTTCATAATATAAAATTTAAATATTAATTTTTAAATCTATTTTCAAAAAGCACTTGGTAACTCTACACAATAACCCACACCTAAAAGAAAAAGTCTTGATGTAGAAGAATGTGTGTGTGCATGCATGTGCGCGTGTGTGCGTGTGTGTGCATGTGAGTGTGTGTGCATGTGCGTACATCAACCCAAACCAAGGTAATGGTTTTATCACTTTGTGTTTCATCTCATGATCCCTACTGAGGAGCAAAGAGGTACAAGAACTGCCAGGGCATCCGGTGGGATACACACAAGTAGGGCATGAATATTCCCCAGAGAACGCACAACACAGCCCTCTAGATCATTCACCAGACTCGGACCGGCCGGAATTCTCCCCAGTTTGTGAGAACTGAGTGTTTGCCGTCTGCTCAAAATGGATTCGAGATGCTAACGGTTTAAATGCCATTAATCCTCCGTGAGAGCACACGCCTCTCCTTTCTATCAGGGATTCCCTAGGAAGGATCGTGCTTAAGATTTGGGGCTAACTATAACATTTCTTTCTAAAGGCTCATTTGGGAATGTATTTCTCCATCAATAACTTCACTGTCGACGTCCAGAGAAGTAAGGATCAAACAACATCTTGCTCTCTGGCTGTGTACCACCAAGTGTGCCAGAACATGCTGCCGACCCCCGCCAAGTGCCACTACATATTTAACCTTCGAGACATGTTTAAGGTGTGTTTTCAGTTCATTCGCTAGCCTCGTGGTAAATGTTAAGGTGAGCAGATGTATTTTACTAACTTGATTCTTTTCTCCATTTCTCTGCCATCAACATGCGATTATTAGAAGGGGGAGAAGGAGAAATCCAAGTCGATTCGTTTTGCTATTTCTCAGCCACTTATCCCGGGAGCCACTTAGAAAAGAATCATTAAGATAATTCCACGCAGAGAATTTGGTGATGAAGCTGCTAAGACCGTTAGCGTATTAAGATTCTCAGCGGGGAAAGCACAGACTTGGGGTTTGCTCTCTTTCCGAGATGTTACTGCAGCTCTCGGGAAGTGAAAGCGTACTTGCATTTCATAAAGATGCTTGAATTTCCACAAGCCCTGCTCTTCACGACAGGAAATATTGCCCGCGGTGCCGATTCGGTCATTAGCCTCGGTCAAATAATTTTCCGAGTGAAAATACGAAGACCAACTATTTTGAATTTGGTCTTTCTCTCCTTGCCATGGACTCCATAGTCCAAGATAGTGCATATCATGTTTGAGTCCCAATTCACAATCTTAGGACACGTCAACCTTAAGAAGCACGTCTCTGTCACCACCGGCACCCTGCCTCCAGGTCGGTACCAAAGTCCAGACTCGGCTTCCCGTGCTGGCGAGGCCTCCAAGGCGCCTGGCCGAGGGGTCCTCAGACCCTCTCCCTCCAGGGGCGATGCCATGCCGTCTTTCCCTGACTGGTGACCGGCCCGTCTCCTCAGAACTTCAGTTTGTCACTTGTAGAGATGGACAGTTCTTACCTTGGATAATTGCTTCTGTTTTTACAGAATCCTAAACGTGCAAAAATTGAGCCTTTACTTCACACACTGCCTTCTAATGTTAAAAAGGAACTCTCATGCTGCGATCTCTAATAGCTTCTCCTAGGCTTGCTACAAGCTGAGAAGGCCGTTATCAACTCCAAAGAGACGGCGGCCCTGTTCTTTGTTCACGAAGCCACTCGAGTGTTCCATGATCGTTTGATTGACTCTGCTGAGAAAGGACTTTTCTATCAGTTTCTTTCAAAAGAACTTGAGAATTATTTTCAGGTAAACTTCTATTTTAAAAAGTATTTCAAATGGTATCTTGGGCAAAAGCATTGTTTTCTAAAAATCCTCAGACATCTCTATTTCTTTATTTTAGTTTTTTTAATTTTTTAATTATTTTATTTATTTTATTTTTTTTTTTTTATTTTTTTTTTCAACGTTTATTTATTTTTGGGACAGAGAGAGACAGAGCATGAACGGGGGAGGGGCAGAGAGAGAGGGAGACACAGAATCGGAAACAGGCTCCAGGCTCTGAGCCATCAGCCCAGAGCCCGACGCGGGGCTCGAACTCACGGACCGCGAGATCGTGACCTGGCTGAAGTCGGATGCTTAACCGACTGCGCCACCCAGGCGCCCCAATTTTTTAATTATTTTAGAGAGCGCGAACACAAGTCGGAGGGAAAGGGGCAGAGGGAGAGACAGAGAATCCCAAAGGGGCTCTGCGCTGAGCCCGGAGCCCAACGCGGGGCTCGATCCCACGAACTGTGAGATCATGACCTGAGCCAAAATCAAGAGTTGGACAGACGGTCAACCAACTGAGCCGCCCAGATGCCTCCTTAGACATTTCTATGGTATTAACGAAAGGAGCTTTATTAACAATCCCCTTTTTTCACTTGATAATGTCTAAATAAGTCTAGATTTGATATGATGGAAATGATCGGGTCTGGATGCCTCTGCTCGTGCACTTGGCCTCCGCGAGCCCTGAGGCTGCTCATTTCTCTCCAGGCCGGGCAGGCGTGTGCACTCGCGGTACCTGCGCCCCCTTCAACTTTGTTCTCCCAGGTGCCCTGTGGTCCAGGTCCCGAAGGAAGGAAGGAGGTCCCGTGGACCGGCCCACGAGGGTTGTAAGGAAGCGGAGGGACGAGCTCAGGGCCTTTGAGGGGCCTCCTTGCTGGCTCCTCTCAGGAGAATTAGGGAGACGCTTTGGAATTCCTTTCCAGAGGCGACGCCTCTGTTCTTTTCTGTCTTCTTGGTGGTGCCTCTTTCTGTCGGCCCATTTGCAGGAGCCCAGGAAAGATGACAAATTCAAAGGTACTACTATATTTACAACAGTAAAAACAGAATGTTGGAACACAGACCTTATCCATAGAGATACACTCATGAACATAAACTCAGAATACGACACGTGCACGGGTATGTCAATCTGTGTTCGTGAACGTACGTACTTTTCACACAAGACACAAATTCAGAAAACTTTCAAAAATATTTTCTAGGGGCGCCTGGGTGGCTCAGTCGGTTGAGCGTCCGACTTGGGCTCAGGTCGTGATCTCACAGTTTGTGAGTTCGAGCCCCGCGTCGGGCTCTGTGCTGACGGCTCGGAGCCTGGAGCCTGCTTCGGATCCTCTGTCCTCCTCTCTCTGCCCCTTCTCCGCTTCACTGTGTCTCTCAAAACACACACACACATTAAAAACAACAACTATTCTCTAGACACTCTCATCCTTATTTTTTTCTAATCCAAGTTCCCTGCTCCTCCGTCCAGATCCCTCTTGCTGTCTTCATGTTAACGCACATCACTCCGCCCGCCAATCTTTTTTTTTTTTTTTTTT